TTTCCCTCAGGAGCATCTGGGACAAAAGCAGAAATCCCTTTTTTTCCCATCATTTGTCCAATGGCTGCAAAATAGCATCCAGTGCTTATTTCCACAACCACATCACATTTGGTTGGAAGGCTTGGCCTTGCTTTGTTCTTTCTTTTCCTCTCATCTACATATCCTATACTTTGCTTGCTGAGGGGTGGAGAGACAGAGGGATGATAGCACATCCCTCCAGCTAATACCTGTTTCAGTGCTTAAGTAGTTGTTATATCACACAGGGCACATCTACACATGCATTAATGCACATTAAATTTAGTACCTCCAGCATGAAGTACTACATCAATGCACATTAGGCTGCCCTAATGTGCAGTAGCACAAACACATGCTTTTTAGGTGATGCTTAATGCGCAGTAGCCTATTTTATTGTGCATTAGTGTAATAGCATGATTTTTTTAAAAGGCTACTGTGCATTAAACGACACATGTAGATGCGCCCATAACTGTTGTCTCAGGTTCTCTCCAGGTATAATCGAAGTTTATCTAATGTAATGTATTTCAAGATTTTCTTTCAGAAGGACTGTACAATACGGGGTTTTTTTGTTTGCTTGGTTTTGGGTATGGACAAAATAAATGTTACCTCTTTTATAAGGGGAGAGGGAGCTGCAGCTACAGTATTCAGCAGCTTGTTATGCTGTAACTATTACATCTGCATGATCCTGTAGCAATACAAATGTGCTAAATAATCCTAACTTTGATGCCGAGATAGGTTTTGCTACACCTGTATTGTTACAAAATCATGCAGACATGACAGTTGCAGAACAACAGTTTATATCAATACCCTTTGGCTGCTACCAGATTTATCATGGAATGAACATTTTCATTGTGCAATAAACTGTAACATGCCACACAAGTCAGCAAATTCATCATGCAATTAAAAACAGCAAACAAGCCACAAAGATGTTTCATATTCCATGGGGAACATCTTAATTTGATGTGGAATATCTTTGTGGCTGGTTTGCAAAGCGTCTTTCCCTCAGGAGCATCTGGGACAAAAGCAGAAATCCCTTTTTTTCCCATCATTTGTCCAATGGCTGCAAAATAGCATCCAGTGCTTATTTCCACAACCACATCACATTTGGTTGGAAGGCTTGGCCTTGCTTTGTTCTTTCTTTTCCTCTCATCTACATATCCTATACTTTGCTTGCTGAGGGGTGGAGAGACAGAGGGATGATAGCACATCCCTCCAGCTAATACCTGTTTCAGTGCTTAAGTAGTTGTTATATCACACAGGGCACATCTACACATGCATTAATGCACATTAAATTTAGTACCTCCAGCATGAAGTACTACATCAATGCACATTAGGCTGCCCTAATGTGCAGTAGCACAAACACATGCTTTTTAGGTGATGCTTAATGCGCAGTAGCCTATTTTATTGTGCATTAGTGTAATAGCATGATTTTTTTAAAAGGCTACTGTGCATTAAACGACACATGTAGATGCGCCCATAACTGTTGTCTCAGGTTCTCTCCAGGTATAATCGAAGTTTATCTAATGTAATGTATTTCAAGATTTTCTTTCAGAAGGACTGTACAATACGGGGTTTTTTTGTTTGCTTGGTTTTGGGTATGGACAAAATAAATGTTACCTCTTTTATAAGGGGAGAGGGAGCTGCAGCTACAGTATTCAGCAGCTTGTTATGCTGTAACTATTACATCTGCATGATCCTGTAGCAATACAAATGTGCTAAATAATCCTAACTTTGATGCCGAGATAGGTTTTGCTACACCTGTATTGTTACAAAATCATGCAGACATGACAGTTGCAGAACAACAGTTTATATCAATACCCTTTGGCTGCTACCAGATTTATCATGGAATGAACATTTTCATTGTGCAATAAACTGTAACATGCCACACAAGTCAGCAAATTCATCATGCAATTAAAAACAGCAAACAAGCCACAAAGATGTTTCATATTCCATGGGGAACATCTTAATTTGATGTGGAATATCTTTGTGGCTGGTTTGCACTGCACTTTAATATGAACATGTGTCATGGATCTCGTGTGTCCCTAGCTCCCTGCACCATGGGTGTGTACAGCCAGCTGCACACCTGACATTGACAGCTCCATGGTAAGGGGAGCTGGGGACTGGGGAGCTCCTCAATTCTCAGCTCCCCACACCCTGGCATAAATACAAGCCAGCTGCACGCTCCAGCAGATGCACGATGATGGGATCTTGAATGTCTGGCATAGCAGGACTCAGGATTTTTGGGATCTGGGATACAATTCTTCAGATGCTATCATGCAATTAAATTAATGTCAGCCAAGACCCTTTGATAGCAATACATCTGTCTATACCTTTTTTAAAAAAAATAAAAGCTGAGATTGACTGTAGGAGCTGGGGTCTTAGTACAGGCCTATACTATGTATCTTTAATCAGTTCCTGTTTGCAAGCCTAGCCTATTTAAATGGGGCTATGTTGCCTGCTATTACCTGAACGCATGAATGAAGACTCTATTACACTCAAAACCAATGTGTTCTGCTAGTCTACTCTGAAAAACTCCTAGGCATTAAGTATCTCTTTTCTGTTGATCACCAGGTATAGAGAGGAGAAAATCTGAGTTCTCTCAATCTTGCTGCTGACTTTGCTGGACTCATAACAGGAAGACACAGAGATAAAATTAACAATTCCTCATCCTTTCTTTTAATTCCCAGCCACTGGGGAGGGGAGGGAATAGAAAAATGGAACAGGAAGTTGGAAACATTGAGGATAGGTAAGATCCTCCAAAACAACCTTTCAGGAACCTCCAAAGCATAGAAGTCAGGCCTAAAAACAGAGAACTAACAAGTGAATAACTCTACTCAGAAGAAATAGCATTTCGATATTATTGGGCATTATATTTGAGAGGCTACATCCTACTTAATTAGTCCTCTGGTAGAATCAAGTTCCAGCTATGTGAAATGCACTGTACCTTCTTCTTTCAATCTTCTCTCTTCTTCTTCTTTCTGTATTCTGATCCGTTCAGCTTTGCTAAGTTTCTTTTTACCACTGGACTTAACACAGGCAACAAATAAAAAATATATATAACATCAACACCTATTTTACTCACTTTATTCCTATAACGTTACTAGTACTCAACACTCTTAATCTTAGCAAATCATTATCAGTTACAGTCTGTTTTGATTTTGTTCTTTTGTTCACTTGTAGTTACACTATTATATTTCTGTGCAGGTGTAAAGCATATATCTCCGTATAACATTGCAAAAAAAATTAAAGGCAAAGACATGGAGTCAAGATATTTATAGTTGAATATCATCAATATATAAATAAAAATTAAGGGTTAATGTAAAGAATTCTTCCTGATTCTTCATTTTCTTGTTGTGAGGGGAAAGCAAAATGTCACTAAATTAGAAAAATAACACTGTATCCATTTTACAAAGGTGCAAACAACTGTACAAGTACAAAGGCCAGACTGAGATACAGAATAACAGAGAGGAGGAAGAGAAGGAAAAAGCAAACGTCCAAAGACTTACAAATAAATATTATGATAGAAGCTCTACTACATATTTTTGCCCCATCATGTGATATTACTGATGTGTTCACTAACTAAGTGTCTTAGTCAGTCCACTTTCCAAAGGAAGAAAGGAGACCTGTCATTCGGCATATAAAAATATGTATTTGAATAGTATTATTTCCAGTAGCAAAGTTAAAGAATTATGCAAGAGACTGTTTTGTGCTTCTGGCCAAGGTGCCAAAATGATTTGAATTTGGTGTGGCAAAAAGAACAGAAACAAATTTCTGCAAGGTTCTCTCACACTGAAGTGTGTAAATACAAACTTGAGGGGCCACCCACGATGGGGATTGCCCATCATTGTAGGATCAGTGCCTTAGATCATTAAAAGTTAAAGAAAGTTTTTCACTATTCGTACTTGTTTAGTTTTCTTGAATCTCTCAGTTTGTAAAGTGAAAGACTAGTCAGTTTAACTTGCTTACAACCAGATCCCATCTATTTTCTTCTCAGGCTCTCATATATTAGCCCAGCACAGCAATATACAAAACACTAGTGGAGTGTATTATTTTTGTGCAATTAAAAAACTATGTCCACTGGAATTAAAAAAAAAATGCAGATATATTATTATTTTGCCTTAAGTTTTGGAAAAACTTTCTTTCACAAAACCTAGCTTTTGCACCATATTTGACTATATGCTTTTAAAACAAAACTATTGCAATCCTGTAATATTATTTTGTAGATTTTTAATCCAAAGGGGATTTATAAATCACCTAGTATGAATTTGGGCATAATCTATGCCATAGTTTCACCCTATGATTCCTGAATTGTTTTTCTGTATTATGCAAACGAATGCTATAAAGTTGGGGAAAAAAACTATATCTGAACTACGCTACCTACCTTTTCTTTCTTTTTTGGACCCTAAAAATTCAAGGAAAAAGAAAAACATCAGAGAGTGTAAAGAAGTAACAAGGTAGACAAGGTTCTTCAGGTAAATGTGATATATTTTATTAGACCAACTAAATAGCTGGAAAAATTGTTCTTTGCAAGCTTTCAGGCACAAATGCCCTTCTTCAGGCACAGGGAGAGTTTGCTGTTTCTTTGTGTTCTCTCCTGGGTAGAATGGAAGCCAATATGCAATATGCTGGTCTGTGAAAATGCAAATGCATGGCAGGGTATGTCATAACTAATGGTGTGGATGGCATCCAAGCCTGCCTCATCAGTACAGACCTCAAGATATTACTGAAATTATACACTTCATCCTCACATACAACAACTTCTATTTTAACAACCAACACTTGCTCCAGACCATGGGCACAGCTATGGGTACCAAAATGGCCCCACAATATGCCAACTTTTTCATGGCCCACCTGGAAGATGAATTACTCAAGAACTGCACCATCAAACCTATGCTTTACCTAAGACACATAGCTATAGCTGCATCTTCAACATTTAGACCAAAAACCTGCAGTCTCTGATTGATTTCCATCACAAATTCAATAACCATCACCCCTCCATCAGACTCTCTCTTGAAAACTCCAGCACCAACATCTCCTTTTTAGACACCATGCTCAGTAAAATACAAACCACAACATACAAGAAACCCACGAACCAACACGCATATCTACACAGAACCAGCAACCACCCTAAAGACACCAAGAAAGCTGTAATATACAGCCAAGCCCTCTGATATGGCTGAATTTGCATTGAGGAGAATACCCACAATCATCATATCAGAAATCTCAAAAGGGCTTTCACTAAAAGGACACTCCTCCAGAGATATAGATCGTACTTTTGAAAGACCCACCCACATACCATGTGAAGAACTGCTGCAGTACAAAAAGAAAACCTCCACAAATTGCACATCATTAGTTATAATATACCATCCTTCCCTGGAACCTATATGGAAAATCCTCAAACAATTGCAACCCATACTAGAAGAAGACCCAATTCTCAAAGAGATCTTTCCAGAACCACCCAATCTAGCCTTTAAACAAGCAACAAACCTCGCCAACCTTATCACCAAAAGAAAAACTCCTATGACCCAAACCACAACGCATGGATCCAGATACATGCCGGACAAAAAATATAAAACCTGCCAACACATCTCCACCACTAGTCTTCCTAAAGCCCAGAAAGACTACATCCATTGCTACACCTGCATCTAAGGATTTTGTGACCTGGTCATAGAAGGCCACCAGGTTGGTCTGACAGGACCTGCCTCTAATGAACCTGTGTTAGTTGCCCCTAAGCATATTCTCCCCTGCTGGCCCCTTGCAGACATGCGCCAGGATAACTCTCTCAAAAAGCTTACCCAGGACCGAGGTAAGACTGACTGGCCTATAGTTTCCTGGGTCCTCCTTCCTCCCTTTTTTGAAAATGGGAACCACACTGGCCCTTTTCCAGTCCTCTGGCACATCACCAGAGCACCATGAGTGCTCGTAAAGCTGTGCCAGGGGTCCTGCAATGACCTCTGCTAATTCCCTAATGTCCAGGAAGACAGCTGCCTACATGGTAAAAACCACTCCCACGGTCACTGTAGACTTTGGCACTGCTGTTGTTGGTCTCAGCAAAAATGAAGGGGATAACTTAGTACAATGTTTCAACCCATGCACTGACCCAGGCAGAGCTAGGGTGAGCAGCCATGTGGGAGAGGTTTTGGATACCTTTGCCCACAAAACCACATTGCTGTGGTTAGAGCAGGGGCAGGCAATTATTTTGGGAGGAGGGCCGCTTACCGAGGGCTGCATGGGTTGCCCTGCCCCTTGACAGATGCCCTGCCCTGATCACCATCTTGGGACCAATGTCCATCCCAATGTCATGGGACCAATGTACCAGGGCCAGCACTGGTGGGGCCCAAAGCGGGGCACAGCCTGGCAGTGGTCTGTGGAGCCGGGCTGGGCTGCACCAGCAGGGAGAGGGGGGAGCTGGCCCAGCTCCATAGAGCCCCTGCCGGCTGGGTCCTCGCACTCCTGCCACCCTGCTCTGGGCCCTGCCGGCACTGACCCTGGGACACCGGTGCAGGCCCTGTGCTCCCACACCAGCTCACTCCCAGTGCCCCCCAGCCCTGCAGTACAGGCGGGGGGCAGCACACAGCCCCGACGCCCTGCTCGCCGGCAGGGAAGAGGCTGGTGCCGAGTGTGGGGAAAAGCAGCCCCTCACCTGCCCCGTGGCTGGCACTCCCTGTTGCAGGCGCTCGCAGACCACACAGGCTGCAAGAGGCTACAGCACAGGGCAACGGCCACGGGGCAAGCGAGGAGCCACTTTTCCCCACCATGCTCAGCACCAGCTTGTAAACCACCCCTGCTGCCAGCCTGGGCTCCATGCTGGCTCTGGGCTCGCCTACTGGGGCTGCACGTGGCAGCAGCAGCTGCGGCCCCACCGCTTGCTGCACCAGACAATGTTGGCTGCTGCTGCTGTCTGCCCGGAGCTTGCGTGCTGGGCAGCCCACAGGTGGCAGTGGCAAACACTGCCCGGCGCAAGCGGGGGGACCGCAGCTGCTGCCACAGCACAGCCCCGACAGGCAAGCCCAGAGCCGGTGTGGGGCTCAGGCTGGCAGCAGGGCCAGGTTACAAGCTGGTGCTGAGCGTGGGGGGAGAAAAGCGGCCACTCACCCACCCTGTGCTCAATGCCCCACGCTGCAGCCACTCGCAGCCCGCATGGGGCTACCTGTGCCTGCTCTGGACAGCCCGGCATGGGCTGCGAGTGGCTGCAGCAGAAAGCGCTGGCTACAGGGCAAGGGAGGGGCTGCTTTCCTTGCCGGGAAAAAACCCAGGGAAAAGCTGAGGCTGGGGGGTGGGGAAAGCTGAGGCTGAGGGGGGGAAAAGCAGCCCCTTCTCTGCCCCGTGGCCCGCACTCCCTGCTGCAGCCGCTGGCAGCCCATACAGGGCTGTCCAGAGCAGGCACAGGCAGCCCCACGCAGGCTGCGAGCAACTGCAGCACAGGGCGTCAGGCACGGGGCGGTTGCGGTTTCCCTACCCTGCGCTCAGCTCTTCCCCGGGCCACTTTTCCCTGGGCTTCTTCCCTACCCAGGGTCCTCCCCTGCTCTTCCCCCCCTGCGGTTCCAGCATGGGGCAGCCATGTGGTCCCAAGCTAGAAACCCCTGCTGGGGCTTCCAGCTGGGAGGGCGGGGCCGGGGGGCCCCTGCTGTTGTGGGAGCCTGCTGGACTTCCCCGGGGTCCTACTGCCCTTGGTCCCTGTCATTTTTAACAGGAACCAAGGGCAGATAAATATTAATTTTCTAAATTTTTTAGAGGCCCCGCAGGCTGGATAGAATAACCTCATGGGCCAGATGTGGCCCACGGGCCGTATTTTGCCCACCCCTGGGTTAGAGGGACACTATCAGACAACCTCTCTGGTTTTGTTCTAACCTACAGTTTGTCACTATGAGCACTTGCACACATGCAGGGAATCTACTCTAATGGTCTGAAAACCCAGCACATTGGAGCAGACTCACTAATTAAAAGCACCTGGCACTGTGTCAGAAGTACATGTAAAAATGCCCTGTGATCCTTGAAACTAGTGTAATAGAAAAAAATAAGGAAAACCAAAGTTTTCTTTTATTAAGAACATCCATCTAACCCAGAAGCCTGCCAGCAAGAGGCCTGTTTTTCTATCCCTGGTCCATTCCCACTTCCAGGCAGTTTCACTGGGCAGCATCCATTGGTTCCTTGGATGCGTTCGAGGGCCAATGGTCACTGTCTGGCATGCTGTCATCCCCCCTTGGCGTGCTGACTCTGAACTGGTGACCTCACTCACTCCTGCCTCTGTTTTCTCTTTAGCTGTCTCCCCAAATCAGTTGATGTTTACTTAATACCCCGCCCTAACAATGTGGAAAGGAGGTGCTACCGGTTGGTCTGTGTGGGTTCAGCACATATTAACCTTATGCCTCAAATATGTCTGTTGCCAATAGTGGCAAGAGTGGATACTTCAGAGGGAAGAGGGGGGAACTGGGCACATCTAGGGTGATCTGCCTTCCCCTCCCTGCATATCATTAGCCTCCCTGGCATCCGCCTTCACTGATACAGAGTTGCCAGAGGATGCATTTTTCCTGACTTTTCTGTTTAACAGCTTTAACGTACTTTGTGCAACTAAGAGCCGCTATTTTGTGCATCACCAGGGCCACAAACGACGTGTGCTCCTGGAGGCTGGGGGGGGCACAGTGACTGTCCACGGGTGGCGGCGGTAGTAAAAAGGGAAGCTCCTGCAGGTGGTTGCAGCAGTGTCAGTGGGGGGGAGGGGTGGCGAGTGCAGACCAGCAGTCGGTGACCACCCACAGACACCACT